GTGGAGTAGGATCAGTGTGGCCTTCCGCACTGGTCCTGCTTGAGTAGGGTCGGCACTGTTTCCCGTGCCGGCGAGTCCCACACACGCCGTGCGCCTAGTCAGCGTCACGGTATGGTGCGTAACTGCATTTCCCCTCGTCACAAAAAAAAGGCTAATTGGTGTGAGTGTTCGAAATATTTTTTTTTTTATTTATTTACTTTTTAATATTGAAGTATTTTTTGATAAGTATACCGAAACTACAAAAAAATCAAGTCATAAGTAAACGCAAAAGTTCTTTTAGTATCTTATCAATTATTTCATCCTACTAATATTATGTATGTGAAAGTTTGTATGTCTGTAACTCAATCACTCAAAAACTATTGAACGGATTTGGATGAAATTTGGTGCGCATATAGTTTATGACCTGGATTGAGACATAGATTACTTTATTTATCCCGCAAAAATGTTGGGTTCAACAACAACATCAGCGTGGACAAAAAAACAAAGTTAACGTGGACGAAGTCGCGGGCGGCCGCTTACTTAATTATATAATCTATCAGATTTTACAGATTTCATTATTTTTGTTCTTTATCACCTCTATTTAACAAAAATCGGCCTAGATTTAAAGCTCCAATATCACAAACCGTATAATTGAAGTTAACCGAATGTATAGATATTATTATTATTATGATGTCTCACAAAGCAAAAATCAAAACGGAGGTAATGCAAAAAACAAACACTGGTTTTGGGGCTGATCAAAAGATCACGCACACAAAAAAAAGTTTTCGCTTCGAGTTCATCATTCTGCAATCCCACGACTCCGTTTAACATCATGGGATAATACGCCTTTATTAAATACCCAAACACGGTCGTAGTCAAAAAGGCACAAAGGCATTGAATTCACTTGCAAGGCAGGAAGCGCGGTGTCGAATGAAGTTTGAATAAAAAAAAAGATTCACAATACATCTCTCAGTCCGTCGACAATATAGATTCAAAGCTAAGAAGTGGGCCGGGTTAGTCTTGTCTCAATAAACGGACGGTAATGACAGGTCTCCATAATATTAAATATATCTCACTCTTGCAGGGGCTCGACCGACACTCGTCCGTTGGTTTTGTGTGTTAATTGATTTTTAAATCACGATAATAATTTTGTAATGCAGCTGATTTACTTGAGTGTCGTTTGTATTAGATGGTGGCTTTAATGTTCTGGCATTTATGTACCCGTTAAACTTTGAAAGAAAGTAAAATGTTATGTTCCTATAACGTAGAATAATAAATTTAATTTATTTTAAAGAAACGGAATCTATCTTAAATGATTTTATAATACCTAGACGCAAATTAGTTAATTTGGATATTTGCTATTATTTACTTTAAACTAATTACTTTTGTTTTTTGTCACATTGTTCTTGCTAATCGAGTGTTCAGGGTTGCAGTGTCTGCTCGGAAACAGTAGCAGAAGGTAGTCAAATAGCAATTTTTAATGTGTTCCCAGAAAAAAGGCAAGGAGGTTTCAGGGCCCCAACTTAAAGAAGTCGGTGCACTGGAGTCTCCTTTTGATCCAAGCCAAGCCAAGTCCAAGAGGCCGAGAAACCATCCTCACATATACTTAACATCAAATTAGGTACATCGATTTAGCAGTTCTTCTAAAAAATATAAACAATTAATTACGTCGTTGAAACGTACCACCCGCCATCGATCGCAGCGTGCGACCAGTCACCTGTGAGTGTGCATGAGTTGCGCGAGCGCATCGTTTGCGTGTCATTTACGCGGGGTCGTTTCAAACTCGGCTTATTACTCACAGGGTCATCAAAACAACCCCCCTGTTGCAACAATGACATGCCGACAGTTTCCCACACCTACATACTTACCTATAAAGTATTCCGAAATTGATAATAAATTAATAGGCTATAAGAATTGTTTATTTTAAACGTAAGTGCCTATGATTGAATCAGTAATTGATCTTTTGTTTGCTGTTTGCGGTGTAGTCCGATGACGAAATAATATTTGCATGGGGAAATAATAAAACAGCGACTCTGCTTGTTGACATAAACCAAATCTTAATTTTTATTGAAAACAACATGAACCAGTGTGGGTAGTGGGTCATTGTAGCAGCTATTAGCATTTGTAATTAAAGTATGGCTTATTGTCTGGTTTGGAAAAAAAATACAGAATAATAGATCCTGTTGTTTTCACTATCCTATGGTTAATAGGGAAAGTTCACCAATGAAAAGAGAAGATATGGAAAATCTTGACTAATATTACCTTAATGATTTGTCATCCAACTAGGGAATGAAGAAAACATTATATTCATGTTTGCATATCACAGTATTTTTTACATAATAAAACACAAGTAATTCGACATTTTAAATTAACTTATCTTCAGGCAAATAGTAGTAGAACTTCAACTCTTTCGCCATCTCCTTCAAAGCTAAATAACAATAAGTATAGTATAAGTAAATTTAATATTATTTTTCCCATCTACGCAATTAAAGGGATGGTGGAATGCCAAAATGTAATTAAATTAAACCGTGCTAAAAGGTCACACGAAAATTTCGAATATTTTGATACGCCTCGAAGAGTGCCACTGCCGCATCTCTATGACGTCACGATATAGTAACAAGCATCATCAATATCTAGTAATTAACTGGAATAACCAACAATCGGATGCGCGAACGCACGGGGTTGGGCGGGAGAGCGGCGCATCTGCCCACGAGAACGTGGGAACTGCGGACCCACCGGTGAAATGACCCGACACGTCAGCTGAGTTAATTAACAATTGCATATCGATGTTGTGATCTAGCAACTAGGTGTTTGTGTTAATCGCCTAGACGACACGAGACCAGAGTTTGCGATGTAAGTAGGTAGATAGCTACATTATGCAGCATAGTTTACTTCCGAGCACTCTTCTCCGGAAATACTTTGATTTTCTATAATTAGAATTCCGTAGCTCAAAAGGAAAAAGATGGAACCCTTATAGGATCACTTTGTTGTCCATCTGCCTGTCAAGACCCTTTATCTCGAAAACACGTGAAGGTACCAAGTTGAAATTTAAACCATATACTAAAATCTGAGGTCCCTTGAAGTTGTGAAAAAAAACAAACCTCTAAGTTAACTAGATACGGCCGTTTATCTATTTGTCTGTCAAGATCCTTTATCTCGGGAATGCGTGGAGGGATCGAATGGAAATTTAAACAAATTTACTCAGGTCTATAATCTGTTAAAGCCTTCACAAAATCAAAACTCGAAGTTTATTGCGTAAAAAGAAGATACGGCCGCTTATGTTGCGTACCTACACATTTGTACAGAACCCTTGTAATAAAACATGTATGAAGGATTCGCTATCTATGGTAATTAATTTAGTCATGCTCAGCAATTGAACGATTGAGTTGTAAAAGTTACATAACCTATGAAATGAAAAGTCATTTATTCAGTCTAGGCTGTTACAAGCACTTGTGAAGGTCAAGAAGCTACGCCATCGGTTCGCAAAACTACGACGGGAGACCTTGTACTGAGAAGAACCGACAAGAAACTCGGCAAGGGCTGTTTTTTCTCCCTGTATTGTTATATACAGTGTCGTCAAGTTGAAAAATGACTTCAGAAATACGTCTGAAGTCACTTTCCATTGCATCATTTAGAATATAAATATATAGTTACAATTAATTTAATAGTTAACATTATATTTAGTATATAGGAAGCGGCATTAGATAGGTACAATATTACTGTTATGAAAAATGACTAATACCCATTTAAAAACAAATTATAAAAAACACTATGTCCATGCATTACGATCATTTAGATAATCATCAACTTTATAATAGCCCTTATTCATAAGAGTATTTTTGATCTAAGATTTAAATTTAGTCAGTGGAAGCTCAATCAGATCTAGGGGAACTTTATTAAACAATGTAATACTACAACCCAGAAATGAACCTCTTGATTTTTGGAGTCTGAAACATGGAACGGCAAGCTTGTTCTTAAATCTCGTGTTAAAGTTATGGGTTTGACTTTTTTTTTTGCAAATTCATCATAGTTTTTTCTTACATATATTAAATTTTCATAAATGTTTTGCGACGCCAGTGTTAAAATATTAATTTCTTTAAATTTTTCTCTAAGGGATTCTCTTGCCTTCAAATTGTATATGGCGCGAACAGCTCTCTTTTGCAGTATGAAAATACTTTCGATATTAACGGCTGAGCCCCACAACAAAAGGCCATATGGCATAACACTATGAAAGTAACCAAAGTAAACTAATCTTGCCGTTTCCACATCAGTTAAGAGTCTTATTTTTTTAACAGCGAAAGCTGCAGAGCTCAATCTACTTGACAAGGCATCAATATGAGGATCCCATTGCAGACGAGAGTCTAAAGTAATACCCAGAAACTTTGTAGAATCCACTAGCTCTACAGGCTGGTCATTTTTTTTATACTAGTATTTACCTGCCTCACATTAGGTAGAGTAAACTTAACGCACTATCTAACAAACTTATGCTTATGCTTGTTATCGAATTAATGGATTTTGAAAACAATACCTCTAAACGTGCTTTTAGAAATCTGTGCTTTGTCTATGGTGTCTATTCAAACTAAATACTGGACTAAAAAATGAAGCATTTCGATGGAATCAAAATAGATCAACAGTCCGCTATTCCATTCCAGGAAGGCCTATGCAGCTGCAGTGGTATATGATAATGATAATTATATTCTAATGCCGATGTAGGTCCCTATAAACGACGTTACAAAATGGCATCAAGTGAAAACAACATAAGTACAACTAAATTAATCATTTTACTTCATTACAAAGTATCCTATATCTTAATCCAGGTAGTAAACTACATTTTGTGCCAAATTTCATTCAAATCCGTTCAGCCGCTTTTGCATGATTGAGTAACAAACATATCACATTTATAATATTATAGTAGGATAGAGGATAAGATTAACTGTCATAAAAGCTTATTTTATAACCAATACTTTTTCTTAATTTGAGCATTCAAAATTTTTATTACAGGATTTGCTTTTCCCACTTACTTGAAGAAGTTGGCATCGACGGCACGTCCATTTTGGCTACCCCAGTATTCAGATGTTAAACAAGCATAATTCCTGTAACAAAACAAAAAATCTGAAGTGACCATTCATCACAAAAGTTACACTGTAATAAATTTCTCACCAATAGAACAGCATCGTGCGAAAAACCTTAAGACATTCGCGCTGTGGTTTCTGAAGGGCACTCGAGGTATGTACGAACAAGTTGGGAGAGTAAAAAATAATTATAGAATAAAATTGAATCGATTAGTAATAATCGCAACAAATGTTTAAGAAAATGGAACGCGGCATTGTGTTCGCCCTGTGGTGGCTGACATCTTTTACGTACAATGTCGAGTGCTCCTCGTTTTTGTTCATTATTTCCATTGTTCTACAGTTGTTATTTAACTAAACGGCTATTACGTTAAGTGCTTTTGCACTGTAATAGGGGGCAGTGAACATTTTAATTCTTTTTAAAGAGCTTTTTAGAAGTGCATGTGATTTCGTGGACGGGCGTGAAAGATATTTGTTGCAAAGCCAATGATAGGTACATTAAATGAGTTTGTCATTCGTTATTTTTTAAATAATAAAAATAAAACAATCTGGTGCACTGAGCAAAACGTTACGGCTACAAAATATGCGACACTTTGACGTTCTTCGATAAAAAATAACGATTTTTGGAAACAGAGTTTAAACAAAATCGCGTATTTTTGTAAGTAACAACAAATGTGAATAGGAAGCCATACTGCATAGGCATAAATATCAAGGGGATAATTTTTTTCTCAAAGTTCTTCAATAGCTTTCTTTTCCATACCATTTAGCAATTTACTTGAATATTAAATAAATTCGCAACAATAAAACTGGTATGGAAATCCAGGCTTACCCACCTTCACACAGAAATTTTAATGTGTAACAGTGTGAAGTTCGGGAAAGAAATTTTACAACTTTAAACACTAACCTACCTTTGATTGTACTAGAAGTATTCTTTTTTCAAATATATTTTAAAGCATTTTTTTGCAATCACTAAGTAGCTATTAGGGTCGCCGGAGAAAATTGCCGTAACTATTGTAAATAAGAGACATTGTTTGCGTCAACAGGAACAAGTGGTGTCGGACACTATACAGTAGCGTTTTAGCGCTCATTGTTCCCGCGTCGGTCACTCAGATGTCTTGTATTGCATGTATTTTTTGTCATTACATTTACCAGTTTCGCAAAACAGGTAATTATGGACGGATAATCCGTGTAAGTATTGTCGGACAAAGCGGTGACCGGGTGTGCATCCCGGGACAAAAGGGGATTCAATAATAACATCGTGAAGTCGGTAGCTTCTTGCTTTTTGCATTGAGACTAGAGAAAAAAAAATGACTGCCTATTGTGATTGCATTCTGTATGGCGCGGGACCAAAAGAGAGGCAGTATATTTCGTAGGTAAGGAATTTAATTTTATGTTATTGTGTGGGTGTGGTGTGATTAGATTTCGATTAGAGTTTAAATCGAAAAAAGTGTGCATCGGAAAGAATCCGCGTAGGTTTCCAGTAAATATTAGCTACTATTCTTTATTAATAAAAAGGAACAAATGTTACACTATATTTTCATATAAAAAAGACAACTAAAAATATATCTTAACAAACAAAAAATAAAAACATTTGTAATGAAGAAATATACAATCCTTATGAATTTTTTACCATAACTACATATATCTCTAGTTTGGGTGTAAAAAGAAAACAGCTCAGCTTCAACTTTCCTTTGCTGAAAGTGAAAGCTTGTCAATGGTCAAGACAACTTCGATAACTTTTGAAGGAGTTATTAAATATCACTTTTTCGGACAGTGACAATGGGCGTCTTTGAGGTGTAGCTCGTTAATATTATTTCCCCACTGTTGAGTTGAAGCACACTGAACTTTGAAATTGTGACAGTGTGAAGGTCGGGAAAGAAAAATACCCACCATAACACTGGTTTTAATGTTTGGTGTGATGGTCGGGAAAGAAAAATACCCACCATAACACTGGTTTTAATGTTTGGTGTGATGGTCGGGAATACATGGGCCTTTCTTAAGGATTGATAAATAAACTCGAAATATAAGTTAGTATAGATTTGATACCATGGTCGACTTTTTCCAATTAACTGAGGTACCTAATTAATTTTAGTTAATATTTTTCATATACCAAACACCTACGTCACTTTTTAAATAATATGAATAGAATATGAACTAATATTACTGATATAAAAATATTTTTCATAGAAAAAGATAACTCCGATAAACACATGATTTCAACAAATTAATTTTATTACTATTTTTGTTAAAATAACAAATCATCAACAGTTGTATCATCATAGCTATTAGTTTCGATAATCCGGTTCGTGAAAACAATGGTCTTTTCCAATTTTCAGTTTATCATAGTTAAGGGACAATTGGAAAATGAAAAAGCTTTATCGTTTTCCTTATAAAAACTTATTTAACACCCACCTTATTACCAGAAAAAGACTTTCCAACTGCGCCGTCGTTGAGAGCAGTGAGAAAAATTAAACAAGAAAAAAAATTAACTCCCAATAACCGTGACCAAAATACATTCATACATGAAACTTTAACGAGTTAACAAGTAAATGAAATTTTAATTTGTTGCTTCTCGTGTGCACGTTAATTTAACGCTAGCTTCATTGGCACCTTGTAATTGCTTCAGCGAAGCAAAATTTATTAAAACCAACAGAGTCTATTTAACGGTTCGATATGAATATGATATTAATACGTACACTTCGTAACATGATTAAGTTATTGATAGAAATAACGTGTTAAAATAAACGATTAATTTTATATGGAAATTTTTCAATGAATTCCACTTCAATCTGCTTCTTTTTAATGGGGATTTTTTTTATTGATAAAGAATAGTCAATAGAAACTAAGTAAATAAATTTCGAATACGTGTAACTACTTACTAATATTGATACATAACTTGAGTACCTATGTATAAAATGAAAATGGTTGTATAAAAAGTGACAAAATAACGAACTTTATTTAATGACGGGAAATCTTTTTTAATAGTAAACTTCTCATTTGTTCACAATATAGAAAACTCGGTTATGGAACTTAAGTATATTTTATGCCCGAGTCGCCGTCTTAGCCAATATTCATCCTACTTTTTAAATGTAAAGTTGTAAGATGACAGAATAGTGAATTTTATTGTTTTCTAACTTGCTTAACTATTTATCAATCACCTCAAGCCAATTTATTAAATCAAAACCTTTTATTGTTAATTTCCTAAGTAAAAACGGCTCAGTTTATTTATTTTTTGATGACGCGCTTAAACTTCAATGCGGACCTCACATAAAACACTCCGTGTAAACAAAAAGCTTGAAAATAACTACCACAGTTATCTGTTTATTTAGGCATAGATTCTCGTGAAGTAAACTACACAATACAAATTCTTTAATTAAAAACGTCAAATATCTGTTTATATTCTTCTCCACTTGTGATCTGCTCTGGTTATGGTTCGTTGTAGACAATTCTCGGGCATGTATTAATATGCATAGAAATCTTCCTTGAAAAATTTAATAATTTTTAAATTATGATGAAAATTGCATGAAAATCCATTCAGTAGAAGCAGACATATCAACTTGAAAAGAGATCCTCACCGTATAAACTCGAGCCATCCTGTATTCTTTGTATGAAATTCCCGCACTACTGCAACGCACAATATTTTCAATCATAACTGAACCGTCTCACGAAGAAAGACGAGCTTTTCCCGAAGTGAGACGATAACGTTACAATTCCAATTAGTGTGCGTTGCAGTAGGGATTTCATACAAATAATTCAGTATTCTTTGTATGAAACTCCCTACTGTAATGGCTCGAATTGATACGGTGACGATACCTTCCCGAGTTGACATGTCTGCTAGGACCGTTAAACGGATACGACAGGGCACTTTGTATTGAAAATAAATAGTGATAAGCAACGACATTCATACAAATTAGCTACTACAACTGTTTCTCAAACGTTTGGTTTCACTATTTCGGTGCCTTCGCATTTCTGTGAGAATAGATTCAAACTACATACACCATTATCAGTCTACTAATGTCCCCATTGCTGGAGCACAAGCCTTCCCTATGGTTGGAATAGGAGACCGCGCTACGACTCATCATGCAGTGACGTGGGTCCAGTTTGTATTGGTGTGTCGCAAAGACTGCGGATGCAACCATCAGGTCCAACAGTTTAACCAAATATTACATAGTAAGCGCACATTGTAGCATTCCAAACGCTTTACTTTGCTCTCAGTGTCAGCCTCTCTATCTGTGTGGCCATGGTACGAACGACAAGTGATCCGTCAAATTTAGCTCGATGCTCCTTTGTTTTTTACTCCGCCCGCATTAATGCAACTTGACGTCTAAGTACTCTTATCCAATGATTACCTACCGCAGGGTCTAACAGGAGGTCGTGACTTGTTAGAACAAATTGTCAACGCTAAAGATAAAATTTGGCGACTAGTCACTAATATCTTTTAGCTCGCAGTAAGGGTAAGTAAGGGCGCTTTTTAAAGAGGCGATTTCTACCCGGGTTTCTACCCGGGCCGGTGCCGGCTTTTGTACTTTTATACCGACCCTAAACTGTCACTAGCGCCGGTGTCGTTAACAAAACTCCATAGTATTTCATACCTAATTGACAAACGGACGTAGACACGGTTTAAAGCTGTGCTTAGACTAGGGTAGAAATCGTGTTGTTAACAAGCGCTCTAAGGCTTGTGTTATGGGATACTAAGGTAAGAAAATAGATAAGAATATTTTTGTAGAACATGTATTTTGGTACAAATGCTCATATTCATGCTACAAACATTAGCTCCACCGGAATTCGAACCCAGGGCCACAATGGACGCTGTCAAACTGTATAATTTAATTTTATGTAGAGTTTTTTAATGTCAGGTCAAGGTTCGTATACCTAATAGTTAACTTTTTTGAAAAATCCACTATAAATCATTACAAAATTCCGAAAAAGGGATAACGTTTATGTATTGTACCCTTCTAAAATTCTGTTCCACCTAAAATAACAACAGCTTTGTTTTGTTTTTCAAGATCAAGACTTTCATTTGTGAAGTACTTAGTTTATATAAAATCTTGTCTCATGATCTTTAAATACGACGCTAATGTATTTTTCTCTCTTACACCATGAATAAAGATAGTGATAAAATAATAATGATAAGTTTAAGTGCTGCGGGGATTGCAAACGCGACAGAATAGTTTTCCGTTGCAACCTTGACTGCTCTGAACCAAATCATTTCTCCGTGGTGCACTAGAACCTTATTCATCATCCAACCATATTGTTATTTCTGACCGCTGAAGGTTTTCAAAAGCCTCGCGCTCGTTTTATTTCTTTTGCATTGACAATATTAAAGACAATGAGCATGAGGTAATTGAAAACCTTCGGTAGTCAGAAATAACAAAACGAAATCGTAAGCGATAGCGCTAGCCATTGTAATCCTTTTAGGCAATCGGCTCCCACATCTGTAAATTTAGCTCAAACTTGACTTCTCTGAACCAAATCGCTTACTCCGATGTGCCCTAGATCCTTAGTCGCCATCAGATCTGTTCGTTTTGTTCCAACCTTGACTGCCCTGAACCAATCGGTTGCCCCGTGGTGCTTTAGAACTTTAGTCACCATCAGATCTGTACTTTTCGTTTCAACCTTGACTGCTCTGCACTAAATCGCTTACCCCGTGGTGCCCTAGAACCTTAGTCACCCTCTTGTTTGACTTGTACATTACATTTAATCTATAATAATTTTATTATGTGAACAAACATTAACACCTACAAACATTTTGTTTTATTCTATGTTGCTTAATTTATTGTAACAAATAACTTGTCGCAGGCGCTTAAGAGCGCCTAGTTGGAAAGTTGTTGCAGATAATGAAAAATATATGAAAAGAGATGTAAGTGAAAGATACATTTTCCAAATAAAACCAAGCGTGTAAAACAAATGTTATTTTTTATATTGTACAATAATATCGCTAACGCAATGATTGCGGTACTACTGATCATATAGAATTTTGTCTTATAGAAATGTGTATAGTTTTTATACCTACCTACATTTTCAAATATCCCATTAGAAAATAAAGTATACTAAAAATCAATGTTATTAAATATTTTTGTAAAAGCCTAAAACGGAAACAAAATTATGCCACATCGTATACTTATAATAGGCATAACACAACATTAAGAAACCTTAAAATTATAATTTGAAGTAATAAAGAAAGTAATTATTACTTAGTTTATTAATTAAAAATATAATTTATGTTCTATAGATACTGTTAAGCTGCTTAAAACTCATTAATTAGCGCTTTCGTAGCACTCTACGTAGACGAATGACTACGGAGGCTACGAGAAGCAATGACCTTTTTATGAACTGATATTTAATAGGACCTTCCTATTAGGATATTATTTACCCATAGACTACCTAAAATAATTTCAAATAATTAAGTTTCATTAATAATTGTTCCAAAAAATCAGATATTGTTATCAAACATACACTCGCTAGCCAGTCATAAGAAGCTCTGCAATCGAGTTACGAATAACTGTGTGAAATAAATACAAAAGTTATTAGTATCATTAAATTTTCGCTTTAACAAAAAAACGTTAATGGGTGCATTTTACATAAATCTCGCAATCGCCAATTATAAAAATAACTAACAACATTTCTGCTGATCACAGAACATTTAAAAAGTAATAATACAAAATTGTAACAACAAAATTTATTACTCACTGTAAACACTGGTTGACGTCAAAAATCGTTCTTCTTTCAAAGTTTGAAACTAAGGCACTGCACTTTGTCAATCCAGACTTACTCCCGACCACTTTGTTCAATGTACTGAGCTTTTCGACGCCGGCGCATCCAGGGGTAGCAAGGGTGCGACGCGAGAGGGGCGTTGTTCGCATGATCTGTCCAATAATAATGAATTTGCGAACCAAATATTTTTTTCCATCCATCTCCCTGACAGTAGGTAAGTTTTGTAAACAAATAAAACGGATAATGTGGGATAATTATGTGGTACGGCCGTTTGTTTTTTTAAATAGAATTAGAACCCGTAAAATGTGTGTTCTAATTATTGAGTTTTAGAGACTTTCAAGAGGCGAAGCAAATAGCTTCTTGTTCTTTTATTTTTAATTTAGTTTATGTTCTTACCCTTTTTTGGCAGATAAATTTAAGAAAACTCTTTGAAATATGTGGTGACATTTGATGCCACGACATAATTAGCCCTTTTTTGTTCACATAAATTCCATTCTATCTTTATATATATAATTCTTCTGTGAGTGTGTATGTCACTGAACTTCTCTTATACGACTGGACCGATTTTGATGAAATTTTTTGTGTGTGTTCAAGGGGATCTGAGAATGGTTTAGATTCACAATTTTGTCCGCTGGACAACCCCTATTTTTTTAGGGCGGTACGAAGTTCGCTGGGTCAGCTAGTTCTATTATATATTGTAAAAATATTAATTAGGTATTTATTCATAAAAACACGAAAACTAGGTACTATTCTATTTTATTTTTCTAAGTAAATAACTGAAATAAGAATATTTACAACAGTAGGTAGTTCTATTTGGCAAAGGGTATAAATTATATTATGAATTTCAATATTTTTGTGAATATTTTCACAAAAATATGTTTTTAATGATGTTTAAAGAAAAATTGCCTATCAGAAATATGGTCACGAATAAACATTGGAACATTGATGTTGTAAAAGTATCTTGTAAAAGAAAACTTACACCCTTAATTTAGACTGGAATAAAATGAATCTCGACTTATCTGTATCAGAAGTTAATTAGGTCTGTGGTTCATAAGTCGTTTCTTATAATATTCATAACCAGTTCTTTGGCGATTTACTTTAGGCTCAGAAAAATATATAATGTGTCTATTTTACCTTGTCTACGTAGATTTAATACCTCATATGCCAATCTTTTGATAGTTCTTCTCTTTATTTCCTTCTCCCTTAAATTCTTAGTTAGAGACTACTTCTATTGTATTATAACGTCCTCTTTAACATCGAAAGAGCATTGAAATTCTTCAAAAAGAAGTTCAGCTGCTAGAGCCACCTCGATACTATTGTTTTTACCCATAATATAAGTATGAAGTAGTAGGTAATACATTAGGAGCTGGCGAACAAAACGGTTTAATTACATCAAATTAAATTTTACGGGAGCAGTAAAAAACTGAATGACATACCTACATTGAGCTTTTTAATTTAGTAGTTATAACACTATTTTAGGCTGTTTTGATTGACATGAGTTGAAATTCAAATTCAGCTGGCCCAAAACCTCCGAGCTGTAAAAAATAAAATAGTATATGGTCAATACCATATGCGTAATTATACCGTTTTGCTCGCCAGCCCCCTGATATAGGTATTTATCTATTCCTATAGTGTCCAATTCTATGAGGGATAACTGTTGAAATAATATAATCGATTTATTGGGACGCAATAAGTAGTATTTTCATTTCTGTTTTGTTTTAAAACAGCTGTATGTGCTCTCGGATTACAAATGAAATAAAATATTATAAAATCGCAATAATAATGGAATCCAACCGAAACTTGGGGGGAGTGATCGCCAATGATATTAGCATGACAGCGATGCCATCTTTGAATTCGTGTCTCTGCGCATCAATCAAAGCTGTGTCGTCACGATTATACTGAAACGCTATTGGACGAGCTACTCGCAATGAGCCAGGGCCCTTTGTACAGATAGTCTTTTGTATTTTTGACTTTGGGGTCGGCTTTGCGACTGCTAGTCATTTTTAATCGGGTCCCATTATTTTATTGTTTGTGCAATCGTTCAGAGATCATATTGAATCATCAGCAGTTTATAATGAATTGAAACGGGGGGCTTGCCATTGTGGATTTTTAATAATACTAAATAATGATGTTTAAACGTGTGAGATAGACAATCCTAAGCTAAGTCCATGCGACGAGGAGACTAAGCACGGCTCTTTGTCAGTAGTGTAGCCTTAGCCTAAAGGACGTTTTGATGAACTTTTCTTGGCATCAGCATCGCTATTAATATATTATTATTCATCATCGACCCATGCTCGTCCACTGCTGGACATAGGTCTCCCCTAATGCACGCAACTGCCCCCGATTTTCTGCCACTCTCATCTAGCCCACTTCAGCCAGCCTACGAATGACATCATCCCATCTTCTCTCAGGGTCCCACACTACGTTTACCGAGTCGCGGTCTCCACTCAAGAACTTTACGACTCCATCGTCCGTCAGTTCTGCGGCTCATGTGACCAGCCCACTGCCACTTCAGTTTGCTAATTCGGTGGGCTATGTCGACGACTCCGGTTCTCTGTTGGATTACATCATTTCTGATGCGGTCCTTCAGGGATGCTCCGAGCATAGCCCTTCCCATAGCTCTCTGAGCGTCTTTAAACTGGTGGACCAGTCCATCTGTGAGTGTCCACGTCTCGGCGCCGTATGTCATAACTGGGAGGACGCACTGGTCGAAAGACTTTTGACTTGAGACATTGAGGAATGGGTGACGAGAATTAATATATTATTATTATATATTTATAAGAGGCTAAAATTCCATTCCATTCTTGGTACCACAACTGGTCTCTAGTACTGATAGAACTAGTACCAACTAACTACATATAGTAAGTAAAATCGATTAAGGGAGGTCCTTATTTTTAGAACTTTTGAAATGTTATCAGGGCACCTCTTCATAATCGTTTGTACCACAAAATATTGAAGAGTGATTTTTGGAAAAAAATAAAGGTTGCTACTACTTATCAAACTTTAACAAAATACATTATATAGAACTGTGGATAAGTCAATAATAAGCTACATAAATGAATGCAGATAAGTGTTTATACGATAATATTTTTAAAGTCGCTATGGTCAATGTTATTCTAATTGTTGTTAAACCTCTTAAATATCTTTATATCAGGTCCACAAGACTTGCGTTCCTTAGTACTTCTACTGATTACCAGCTTTGGACTAAATACTTGGCGTGATTTCAGCGGAATTGATTATCATTATTAATGGGAGAATCGAAGAGTGCAGTGAAAGCTTTTTTTTATAAATAAGAATAAAAGTTAAGTAAATATTTGTTTATTGGAAATATTTTATACTATATTGTAATTATAATAGCTAAAACACATATGAAATGCAACCAACGAGTTCAATATAATAACATACCTCATTATCCTGCTCAATATACGCATTGATCTTGTCATAATATTACAAAATTTACATCTTTGGTTTATTCGTTGAAAATTAAGTGTAAAACAGTTGCTAATACTATATAATATTTTTAAATCTTGAATGAGAAAATTTATACAGGCCACATTAATTAAAATTTGTAATTGACCAAAGTTGACTTGCTATCTCTTTCTTTATAATAAGAAAGAATTTCATAATCTTTACCATAACCTTTACATTTGGTTGACATTAGTCAAAGCAACGACAGGATAGTTACATTATTTTTAGAAATAGAAAACAAGTTATAGATAATATTACGTATCTTTACCCATGTGGTAAATTTCCAAGCCCGCCAGACTTTACTTATTTTCTGATGGACAAAATATGGATAATCAAGTAGGTTTAGTGTGTACAATGAACGTATATAAAACATACTCGCTAACTTTTACTGTGTCACCTGAGATAACAAATCCTTAGTTATCTCAGGTGACACAGGTCCGTAGAAGTTTTACTCACTTTTCTTACAGTGTGACTGAGGACTGATTCTTACGTACGTAGGGAATATTGTAAACAATTAAAAATTAATATTGCCAGGCACATTCACATTCAGCAGTATTTATTGTTAGACACTTTAAATGTGGAAAGCAAAAAACAGCAACTTATGTTAAGTTCATTGTACATACTAATACTACTTGATTATCGATATTAGGTCGTTCAGAAATTAAGTAAGGTTCGGCGAGCCTGGAATCTTCGACTACTAGGTACCTTAACAATTTTGTATCAACATCAGCAAATATCTTATAACTAAATTATAAAAATATACCAAAACATGTGTACATAACATTCATTCATTCGAATCAAAATAAAAAAAATACATGTTTATTTAAATTATTACAGCAAAAGAAAAAAAATTGCATATTTTCTTTATAGTCTTTTGAAATGAAAATATACGTAGGTATTATTATATTGTTAAATAACATTATTTACAACTCTTTTATGTAATAAATCTCCGAAATTTAATAATGCGTTTATGGCTTAAATATAATGCGCGTTTTTTCAAAATTTTAAAGTTGCTTTAGTTAATAGTTCCTAATATTAATCAATCACAGTTGATTACGATCAAGTTTTATAACGATCAAATATTGACTAGGATAAAAAACTGTAAAAATTTATAATAGTCAAAGTTACATAGAAATGCAAAAATGTCATTATATTATATATATTTAAATGTTCATGTATTGTTTAAGTACATTATTTTGCTTTCTTTTTTTACATTATTAAAACAAAACCGCCCTTTTATTTAATTATGAGCTCGAGTATGCCGTATTTTCAGTACACTGGAGTCATCGATATAAAACAATTAAGAAATATAGTGAAAATATCAATTGCACCAAGAATTTGCAGGTTACATAAATAAAAAATAATGTTATATTGTAATAAAATTAAATGAAACAAATTATAAAAAATAAAGAATGAAAAATATTTATATTTCGAAGCAAAAGATTTAAAATGCGGTCATAAATATATATGATGTAATACAAAAAGCTGTTGTTAATGTCGTTAAAAAGTCGTAATATTTTGTAATTTATTTCAATTTAAAGAATTACCTATAATAATAATTTAATTTAAAAATTTACTTAGATTCATCGAGTAGATATGTAGGAAGACTTAATTGACGGGACATGTAGACCAGGGATAAACATTGGAAGTATCTGATCTATTGGACTTATGAAAAAGGTCAAAT